AGATCTATCCATGGCCTTAATCCTTCCTACCTCTGTGACCTGTTAAAGCCATATTAACCTGCCCGCTCCCTCCGCTCAGTAGGCTCTGGCCTGCGCCATGTCTCCCGCCCGACCCACCCCACCATCGGTCTTCAGCCTCTCTGCCCCCACCCTTTGGAATGCCATCCCACAGTCCCTTCACCTCTTCCCCTCTCTTGCCTCCTTCAAAGCACATCTCAGGACCCTCCTCTTCGGTCGCGCCTTCAGGCACCCTCCTACCCCTCCCCCACCCCTCCTGATCCCAAACCCCTGCTTGGGGCCAAATCCCTGAATGTCCAGCACCTTGGGACATCTTCCCAATGTGCAAGGTGCTCTATAAATGTCATTTTGTTGTTGTCAAACACTTACCTCCAAGTGAATCAGTATCAGGGTATCATAACAGCTGTGTAAATGTAATTTGTTGTTGTTGTTTCTCTCTCTTTTTAGAACAGGCAACACATTGACAAAGATCAGACTAACGGAAACCTTTGCAAGTCGTAATTATTGATTGTATGAGGTTTGTAAGAAAACCTACAATGAAAATATTGCATCTGAAACAAGAGATGCAGGTCATGATATGCCTCAATATCCCTTGTTCTAATGCTGATTTAAGGCAGTAAGATTGAGAAAGATTGCCGTTCCACGGATTGGCTTGTTACGTCCTTGAATCGCAAATCTGATTTAAAATATGTAAGGTATAGTTATTTTCATTGCGGGCTACACCAAAAGTACTTCTTGCAAATTAATCAAACAGAGTCATTCTGTCATTCGGATTGCGATGATTAAGTCCAATATTTGCCAACAACTGCTCTTTGTTCTCAGATATGGGGGAGGACTTTGATCAAATGGAATGAATACATCTGCTCCCCTCCCTCCAGCAGTTTGGCTTCCCTTCACTGGGTGGATATTCCCCCCTCCTCCACTCCCCCAAAAATGTGGTCACTCAATCCACAACTGTGGGACACTGCTGTACACAATCATCCACCATATTTTCCCCCACCAAATACACAGTCACCACACTTTACAATATATTCTGTAAAGCGCTTTGAGATGACTCAACAATGAGGTGCTATATCAAATGCAAGGATTATTATTATCTTATTATTATTTCATTAAATTGAAATGCACGAGGGAAGGGTGTCATTTGAGCCAATTTATTCGTCAGGATCTCTTGTGGTAGCTGTAAGCACTTATGAGAACAAAGCCTGGTGACCGGATGGATTAAGTAGCGCAGAGAATATAGTTTGGGTTATTAGCTGTTCTTGTCTCTTTGTTCCCAATCCTCTGAACTTGCTGGAGTCCTTTTGACGATTATAAGGATCCAGAGTAAAAGGGAGGAAGTTGGAGCTCATGTTTTTTTAATTTAGTTTGTGCTAAAACAATTTGTAAGCATTTTTCGCTTCAGATCAGAAAGTGGGGTTTTAAATTCTTGGCAATTTTATAAAACTCTGCGTTCGAGAAAGCGTGGCTAATATGGATCACATTAATAATATCATAATACTAACATGAATGTGCATGAAATAGTGCAGTTCTCTCCCAATGGGGAAGAATTGGCATGACTGCAGTAACAACTACCTTTAAGTTAAGTGCACAGTTAATAGGTTGCCAATATTCATGCTTATTTTATTCCAAGAATAGTAATTAGTTAATATATCACTTTAACTACAAATCCACAGGGTCATCATTCACCAACAGGTCATTGGGTTACATTTGGACATACTGCATCTTTAATATCTTTTTTGATATTTCAACTGACAAAAAAACAGTATTACAGACAAAGGTGGAAACTAGATTCTAGAAATTTTATTTTAATAATGATATGAACTCACTTTTTGGACTTAAAGCAGTCCACTACCATGAGCCATAACCCTTTCATACTCAATCGATACATCTCAATGAAAGCTATTTCTTGATCTGGCAACTCATAAACTTAGATATACAGTAATTTGCTTTTATTGGAAATGCCTCTGTGGGCCACATTGGCTGAAAATGTATTCCTGTTGCTGGTTCTGTTAGTCATACCCTGTGGACTGTTGCAATGTAATGATGTTAGGCAGTCTCTTTAAGCTTGTTCTTGAATTCATACAAATATATTGCTGTTATAAAGCAAAGGGTTTACATTGTTTGTCTACTGGAGGACATACAATATATATCTTCTGTTAGTTTATCCAGTAAGGGTTGCAAAGGGCTATATTTGAAAACTCTGGATGGTCCAACAGCTTAAAGTGGATTTGACTAGGTAAATAAACAATCCATAGGTCATACAGCCAATTGTTAATATATATATTATCAACCTTATTTTTTATTATAAATATCCTTATCTTGATATATAGCTTACCATTGCAGTGTAAGCGACTAAGAGCACTAAAAGCAGGACCTCACAATCCCCGGCCTCAATGGACTATCTTCCATTCACACCGAGCATGGGCATTGATAGCATTGATGTTTAAACATCCTAACCAATTCCCCAACAGTTATAAAGTGAATGATCAATTTTTTCTGGGGGAATTGTTAGCCAGGACACCGGGAGAGAGAGAAACTCCCATCTCTTTTTGAATAAAGTCAAAGGAATCTTTAATGTTCACCTAAACAGGTAGACGGGTCCTCGGATAAAGTCTCATCAGAAGGTTGTCACCTCCACCACTGAGATTGGAGTATCAGCCAAAGCTGTGTGAGTTCAGAATCCTGACCCCTAGCCTTCTGCCGCAGAGGCAAGAGTGCAACTAACTGAGCCAGGCTGCAGGAGCAATGTTTCATCGCGGATTCAACAATGATAATAATATTAATCCTTGCATTTGATATAGTGCTTTATTGCGTCATTGAGTCATCTCAAAGCACTTCATAGAATACACTGTAAAGTGGTTTGACTACATTTTGTGGGCGAAATGAGAGAATTTTGAGTCTCTTATGAAACCTTGCATTTTGCATTGTAAGAATTCAGATACTGATTGGTTTGTGGCCAGTTCTGACAGTTCAAAAATCTCAGCACTTACAATGTCTTAGGAATATTTCCATCTGAATGCAGAATTTATATCAATTCAGCAAAAGCAATCAATCAGCCGCCAAATTCACTTGAGTTTCTCCATGAGCTGGCAGTAAATCTGAGTTTTGCAATAAAAACCTATGCATAAAAATGACATTTCAAATTACATTTGTTATAAATCTCGGTTACACATAATAATATTATGTGCACCATTCTAATTGGCCAGAGGAATGTGGCTGACACCTAGTCTTGTGCACTGTAGGGTCATTGAAAAGAAGATACAACAACAGACATTTATATAGTGCACTTCACAGTGTTGGGTAGCGTCTCGGAGTGCTTAAGATCTAATATAACTCAGCTCAGCCCATGAAAGTTTGGCCTTTTGTGCAGACTGGCGTCTAATGACTATTTTATCCAATGTTTCTTCAGTTTGTTAAACCTACTCATTTCCCTAGTGACGGTTGGCTTCATATTCGGCTCAGCAGTGTGTACAGTAATCTTGCCAACACATTTCTCCCACAATCACTACCACTGACACGCCTTTGTGGTCGGTAAACTAAAAGTGGACTCGAAGTAGAATGAGAAGTGGAAACTTTCAAACTCTCGCAAACTTCTGTATAAGCTCAGGGGGAGAAACGGGTGGGTTAACCTCCTACTGTTAAAACCACCTCATTATTGAAGTACAACAGAAGGAGAATTGGTAGCGTCACCAGCCTAAATAGCTGATGCCAAACCCTCACAGTTTAACTCGTCTTATAACCAGGGCCAGGATTTTTGACGATTTTTATTGATCATTGCTCATTCGCAGTCTACACATACTAATGTGCCACAAAGCACATTACTTGTACGTCTGAAGCTACGACTGCCCAACCGATTAAACTTGTGACTCCCAGTGTATACAGTTCTACAGCTCCCTTGGATTGCTGCAGATGTGGGTTTTTAAAAGAGGCTTTGAAGGCAAAGAGAGAAGATAATAATAATGATAATATATTTCTATAATCGCCTTATCATGCTGTTGGGATGTCAAAGCACTTCACAGAATATACTGTAAAGTGAATTGACTGTGTATTTTGTGAGCAGAGTCCCACAAACAGTCGTGGATTAAGTGACTTCACACCCGTAAAGTGACCTGACAATTGACTAACAAGACTTACTGCTCGGTAAACGGAGGCTTTGATTAATGAGGAACAACGAGCAAACTATTACATTGACATCACAAAAACAACTTGGAAAAATTGTATTGTATTAAATAGTGAATTTTATTAAGATTTCCAAAAAATACAAACTTGTGTGGCAGAATTCACTATTTACATACTTTCAATAGACGGCTTCATCGGGTAATGCGTTCGCACATTAATAAGGAAAAGAATGTGAAAGCACGAAATAAAAAGTAAAAATGTCATGTGGCGAAATGTACAAGATGCTGAAAGCAACAGTTTCCAAAGGGGAATAAAACTCCCAACATTTACACGTTCGTAAAAAAAAACACATGATTTCAGTTTCAAAAATACATTTTCTTTTGGATTATACACAAAGATAACTTGGATCACATTTGGTACTTACTGCTACATAGAGGCTTATAAAACAGGATATTACACATGGCACGTCCCCCCATACTCCCCACTCTTACCCCCACCGCTGACTGAGCGCAAATTTCCTCTTTAATTCCTATTTTGTCTGTGATATAAAAACTTCCCTATCTCATTTCCAAACGGGCTACTTTTGTCAGNTTTTTTAGTGCAGTTTAATGTTCAAAATCAAAACTAAAGCAGTGATTTGGAATGGGGGTGGGGGTTGATTTTGAAGGCAAAATTAATATTTAATAACTTTCTTTTAAGTCAAAGTATTCCCGTAACAGTTTAATAACTTTTTTGGGGGTGGGGGGTGGAGAGTGGAGGGAAGGAGGGAAGGGAGGGAGGAAACAGTAGCTTGGCAGAAATCATTGCAGGAATTAACAACAACAACAACAACTTGCATTTACATAGCACCACTCAGAAAGGGTAGCGTCCCAGAGCACTTATAATTAGAAACACAAGGAAGGGGCAAGATAACTAGTTAACCTGTGATGCAGGGATTGTAATAGACAGCGTTGCTGGCGTCTATCAGTGCAGAGATGAAACTGCTCTCCTCGCAAGACATACCTCTGGGGTGGCGTTTCGACAGTGAGACATGGAAGTGTTGGCTAGAGCAATCGGGACGAGTCCTGGTCAGGTTCAAATACTGGTCGAACTCGTTGCGGTCCACATCTGTCCACAGCTCAACCTGATGCCCCAAGTGTTGGTCCACACTACAGTCTACTGGCCGTGCCTCAGGAGGGGGTGAGAGTTGGCCCAAATGGCTGGACATCCCACTACCCTGAGCCCCGGGGCACAGCTGGTCATAGTACAAATTGGGTGGGTTCCTGAGCAACTCGGGCATCCCACCAGGCATCTGATCGGAGTAAGGAGTCATCTCTCCTGTCGAGGGATGTGTCAAAGTCCTGGGCTTGTCCTGAATGTAGTCTGGGTGAAGCTGAAAGTGCGTATAAGAGACACCGCAGTCCTCCTGAGCAGGGAAGAACACAGGGTCGGTGTCCAACACCTCCAGTGGAGACATCTCTGGGGTGGGCAGCCCGTAGCTCTCCAAGTCGGAGCCCATCACGTGTAAGTCGTGGTAACGGGCCAGAGCTGGCAGTTGGTGCCTTCCTTCGTGAGCGTTGAGAGCGAAAGACTCGGCGCAAATCGCCGGGCTATTCCTGAGCGCAGAGCCATGGCTCTGGGACAGGCCGTGGTGGGCCAGAAGGTTGCCCTCAATCCGCTTGATTTTCTTGCTCTGTTTCTTCCTGCGAGGCCGGTACTTGTAGTTGGGGTGGTCGTGTAAGTGTTGGACTCTCAACCTCTCCGCTTCCTCCACGAAGGGACGTTTCTCATCGGTCGGGAGAGATTTCCAAGCCTGTCCTGCACAGAGAGAGAGAGAGAGACACACACAGAAATGTAAGCACTGCTTAACTTCACTCCTGTCCACTCATAAGTTTGTAAAGCATTTTTTTTCCAAGGCGTATAAACTAAATGGGATCACAGCTTGCAAATCCATTACTGTATCCATCTACACCCACCCCCAAACAAAACAACAATATTTCTCAAATAGCATTGAGAAATAAAGGCAGATACAGACAAAATAAACCCCACAAATATTAACCGGATAGAATTGCTATTCGATTAATATCGATCGGCCTATATTATCCATATACTCCTGAATGTCATTTGATTAATATAGATTACTGCAATACTAATATCAATCACAAGCATTCAGAAATACAAGTATAACTTTTTTTGTCATTTTTTTTTAAAAAAAAGGTGATTTGAGCTGTTCCGGTGACAGATTACACTCATTCCCTGCAACAATTAAGTGTATTAATGAGTAGATGTGTCCTGGGATGGATTGCTCAGTTACTCCCAATATTTCTCCTTGGACTGATCCACACCGGGGACTCGGGTTCAAATAACATTAACCCTTTCCCGAACACTGGATTGTATTACAATCCCGCACGTCTCGCGGCCGACGCCACGGAGCGAACCCGTAGCCAACAAGAGGAATAAGAAGACGCCTCGCATTTGACCCAAGCGCCTTCGAGACGTCTCGAAGGGCGTCACGGAATATACTGGGAAGTGTAGTGACCGTATACTTTGAGCCAAACTGCGCACAGTGGTGGATAACCCTCGTGAACCGCGTTATAACCGAGTGCGCGCGTTAAAAAAAAAAAAAAAAAAAACAACGGGGACCGGGACTCACCCAACATCTTACTGAGCACCGCGTTGTGCAGGTCGGGGTTCTGCAGAGCCAACCTCTTGCGTTCGTCCTTCGCCCAAACCATGAACGCGTTCATCGGGCGTCGGATCCGGGATTCGAGCTCACTTCTCCCCTCGGGTTTGGCGGTGAGCTGAGCTGCTTCCGATCCGGATTGAGAGGCAGGACTCCCGGACTGAGCCCATGGGGAGGGGGTCGCCGCGTCCAACCCACAGCTCCCGGCCTGAGAATCCTCTACACCGCAGTAACCAGCCTCAGAAATATTCATTCCAACCCCAAAAGAAACACACACACACTCGCTCACACACTCCGCCTCTGATCCGATTACTTACCAACTGCTTAACAAGTGTGTGTGGGTGTGTGGGTGTGGGGTGGGTGGGTGTGGGTGGGTGTGGGGTGGGTGGGTGTGGGTGGGTGTGGGGTGTGGGTGAGTGGGGGGCAGATTGGGTCTAAGTTGGGTAAGTTGCTGAAACTTCTTTAAAGACCTCAAACCCTCTCCACCATCCACCACAAACTTTGCACTCCTGGTTAAAGCGATCCCACCATCAAAATATACAGAAGTCTCACCAATCGTTGAGGACTTGGATTCATCTCTCCAATGAACAGGGAACAGAGGCGGAGACACCGCAAGGAAACCTGCTCAGATGCCATGGCTTCGGATTCCCAAGGCGGTGCCTTCCCGGCTCCGGATTCAGCCCCGAGCGCTCCAGGAATTGGGGAGAAGTATTTGTGGGTCGTGCCGAACAATAAAACTAATAATCCTCGCACTTGATACCGCTTCAAGAGCTTCCAGGATACGCCGTAACGCGAATTGACTGTAATATTTTGTGGGTGAAACACGGCAGTCTACAGTGTATCCTGGAAGCGCTTTGAGACGTCTCAAGGACGTGATAAGGCGCTATTTCAAATGCAAGAATTATTATTATTATTATTATTATTGAAGTAGACTGAACCAGTCGCCAACAAGGTGTTTGATAGGGCCTTACCCTCCAACACCTCCACCCACTGCCCCCACCACCATTACAAGACAGTTGGAATCAGCTCTCGTTGAGTACAGTTGAAAATGTGTTCACCATTGTCTTCAACTGGATGGTGTTTATGTAACGCAAAGTAGGATTAAGGGTTGCGGTTGAGGGAGAGAAAGGACTAAGGTCAAATTGTCTCAACGCACTTTACAACAGTTGTTGTCAGTGTAGTGACTGTGTATTTGTAAGGCAAAGTGGCAGCTATTTTGCACACAACACTATCCCGGTCAGGAGACCTTAAGAAAATCAATTGTCTTGTCAAATAGTGACGGGTTCTTCAACATCTGCATGAACAGGCAGAAGGGACCTCATTTTAATAGTTCATTTTAACATGCCATCGCTTGACCAATGGAGATATCTCTCGCTCTCTCTCCTCCACCCTACTCTCAGTGTTGGTCTGTGGACCTGGACTGAGCGCTTATGTCCCTTCCTGGGCTTGAACCACCAACCTTCTGACCCAGAAAATGCTGCCAATGGTTGACATCTTAGAGAAGACCGATTAAAACTCAGTCCATGACTGATTGCGAGACACTGCTGTGCGCAATTGCCGCGTTTCTCCCACAAAATACTCATTCAATCCACTTTACAATATGTTTTGTGAAGTGCTTTGAGACATCTCAACAACGTAATAAGCCACTATATCAAACGCAAGGATTATAATTAATAAAACTTAGGAAACCGGTTGTTAGTCTATTGGCGGATCGCTTTTCCGGGGGTAATAATTTCTTTAAAAATTAATATGAATAAATTGGTCACTCGACGTGGGACGCTGCTGTGTGCAATTGGCTTCCACGGTTTCACCCACAAACTATATTCAATCCACTTTACAGTATATTCTGTGAAGCGCTTTGAAACGTCTCGAAGATAAGGCGCTATATCAAATGCAAAGATTATATTACTATTTTAGTGCCTCTAACCATCACACTCTTACTATAAGACCACACAAATAGCTTATTTGAAATGGTACAACATTTTGTCAAATTATTAACAAAATGGATGTCTTATTTTCATAGTTGTCTGGTCATGTATTTCATATTTGTTATCTGGAAGAAGAATTCTGCTTTGATTTGTACAGTACATCTCTCTTCACCTTATATTTGGTTATTGAAGGACACAGACCCACCCAGAGTTACAAAATACACAGTCAATCCATTTTACAATATATTCTGTGAAGCGCTTTGAGACATCTCAAGGATGTGATAAGGCGCTGTATCAAATGCAACGATTAATGTTACTTAATGCTCTCAACTGTCCAAACTCACGACTTGACCCATCAACAGTCTACCCGTGGTGGTGCAGTTAAACTGTGTCTATCGATGGTCAAACGAAAAAAGGTACATTTTAAATAATTCACAATCATTGGACTTGACTTTAGATTCTACAATTGATGTAATGTGATCCGAAAACAGATGCCCTTTGGATAAAATCGTGTGTGTTCTGAAAATCCTGTGTTACTAATATCGTGGTTTGATTTGCAATCAAGTTAATGAACTTTATGTGTAGTGAGTGCATGTGTTTATGTTAGATCCGAAAAGGAAACCTCCTTAGGTTTCTAACCATCGCCCCAGAGCCAGATTTTCCAGTTTGTGTCTAACCTTTTCTCAGCCACTGAGCGAGTGAGTGAGTGAGTGAGTGAGTGAGTCAGAGTTGTCATTGGATTTGCTTCGAATTTAAACCAAACTGAAATGTACCAACACTTTCTCGACCCGATCGCGTTACCGACATATAACTAACTGCCTGTCTCTGTTTCCAAAAAAAAATGCGACGTCTCTTGATCTGTTTCGTTCAGTCCATCGATTGCAAGGGTTGGAAATAAACAATTAAGTTTGGGGAGGAAACAAAACTTGGGGCAGATGTTGATAGTTGCATTTCTAAAACGTGTTAATCTCTCGGACAGGAATCCCTTATGTTATATATTGTTATACATCACTGATATTGTACTACACTGATATTAACGATTGTCGCCTGTTTCTGGTGTTTGCGAACCCAATTGCCTTGTGTCCAGAGCCTTAAAAAAGACACTTTAAGTAACACAAATGAATAATGTTATAAAACAATCGAGGAAATTCGGAGTTCTCACCGGGTTTAAAGACACGCGAATATTTTTATTATATTAAAAGCAGTTAAACCTTCCGACTGCACAGTATTTTAACCACACGAGTTGACGCTGTGTCGTGGGTAATACATATTAACTTAAGTTGGAGTCATCCCTGTTGCAAAACTACTCGAGGAGATGAAAGAATGAAATGAAACACACACACACACACACACACAGAGAGAGAGAAAAAGGGCAAAATAAAACCTAACAAAAGGGAAGTCAGTCAACGGTTTTGTACAGTTCACTTTTCTTCCCCCATCTCTCTATTTTGTTTTGGCCAAACAATGGGTTACAGCCGATAAAATACCTCTCACAATAGCTGTGGCTATAATGAAATGTACGTGGAAATGCACAGACACACACAGACACACACACACACATACATACACACACATACACACATACATACGTACATACACACACACACTGAACTGGGTCCTGCAACCCCTATAGTTCACGTTTGCAGCTCTTCTCCTATCTACTCTTAATCGCCATCCCCCAGTTAGTTACTGCTCAAACTGGGCAACAACAACAACAACAACAACAACAGCAACAGCAACAAAAGGAGAGATCGCAAAATGCAGTATAACGACGGCAAAAAAGGCGGAGGTAAAGGAATCCATTCCTGGTGTGTGTTTGTGCGGGTGGTTTGGTGCGTTTACTGTCGGTGCGCTCCCACCCAGAGTCCGGCGCAAGTTGTCTTTTATTGTGGAGGTTCGCAAATGCTGGTGATTTTACACAGCAGTGAATAACGAATGCCTTGCAGACAGTCAGACAGTCAGACAGATACCCCCCCACAGCCCCTGTAGGTGCTATGATCAATAATAATAATAATCCTTGCATTTGATAGAGCGTCTTTCGAGGCGTCTCAAAGCGCTTGACGCAGACATAGACGTAGACAGACCGTCTGGTCCCAGGCAAAGGGAGGAGATCACCAGCACTTGTCCTCCACTTGAGCACTGAGCAACATTAGCTCATCTCAGCCACACTGACGTTCCACTCCCCAGAGAAGCTTTGCTCCCCCTTCTAATAATAATCACAAGCAGAAACTTGTTATCCTTCACGTGGACTGGGACGTGTTTTACTCAATGCATTTTTTTTGAAAGAAAAACAATTTACAAAAACACGGCTCCTCCCTTAACCAAACATGAAAACGCACACGTTACAGTAAAACTCGCATAAGTCTGATCTGTATCAATCGTAAAATGGCCTAAGTCGTACATCTGCCCCGGTCGTGTTCAAGAGATTATATTCTATGCACGTTTGATGTAACTCATACTTTCCATAAGTCATATTAAGCGTTTGGTCCCAACTGATACGACTTATGTGGGGTTTACTGTACCAGCGTTGGTACGCTTGATGAAATCTGTCCACCTGTGTTGAGCTACCTGTGGGCAAACATGCCATTCACAGTACTGAGAGACGAGTAAACTAACAGTATGGATTGAATGACTGAATTTTTATTATTATTACTATTATTATTATTATTATTATTGATTCTTTAGTTTAACGAAGCAGGTCAGACCAGAGATTTTCTGTAGCCAATCAATGTCAATTAAAACAATCATTCTCAGCAACGATTAACCACACGAACTTCAGAGAATTTAAGTGAAATATGTCATATTGGTGGCGCATTCATAGGTACCAATTTTGTAACTGTAACATGATACGTCGCAGTTTAAGTCTCTCCTTTCAGCTTCTTCCACTCATGTTGTAAGATTTTTTTGCTGAGTTTAAGGATGTTAGCAGTGCAAATTCAGCACATAAAATCCAGCCAAACCACAATCGGCATCCCTTCCTCCAACATGGCCCAGCCAAGCAGGTGAGTCAATCGCTGCGCCAGCTTCAGGGTAACAACTGGAGCTAATACAGCCACAACAACAGCAAATTACATTTGTGTAGCGCCATTCCAAGACACCGGACAATCAGGGATTTCGACCCTAGCAGAGGGTTAGGATCAGGAGGGGTAGGGGAGAGGACGGAGGGCAGTGCAGAGAGGGTAGGGGTAGGAGGGTGACCGAAGGCACACAATATATCGCAGCTTTCAAATGGGATAGCGTCTCAGAGTTAGAAAACTAAGAAATCAATGCACATCTGCCGATAACCTGCATTGTGAAAGCCTCTGTAAATTTCACAGGAGACGTCTGATCTCTTTGCTTCTAACCCTTCCCTTGGATGACAAGAACAGTGCCTCACTTATAACACTGCAAGC